TAAATGTAAATTGTTTTCACTTGAATCATTGGGAGAGGTGCTTAGCATCTCAAGTCAAAGACTTTGAAGGATTACATTCATTTAAATGTATAAAGTCTGGTATGTTTATCTTTTAAAAAAATCAGTCACATTATTTTATAATCATGCCTCAGAAATCATAAATGAGTTATAGTAATTGAGTTGCACATCCAATTTCAGCAGTACAGAAACTGTAGGTACTTCTTATATTTTGCAAATATTAAAATCAAGTAGTACTTTTCATTTTTCTTCATGGTGTCTCACTGGAAAATTATCACTAAAAATGTTGATATTTAACTTATTAATATCATCCACATTTTTGTTTCTAAACTCCTCAAGCCTTTCTGAGAAATAACAAATTATTCACTAAAATCATTTTTAATGGTGTTTGTGTGTATGTGGAATTATTGAAGCGTAGGGGCTAAATAAATTCAGAACTTTTTTTTTAGTTCTTTCTATATATAAGGTGCTGTATGGGTGCATTGGAATTCAGACTTTATTACAGAGATGCAATCTACCACCTAGGTGTTTACAATCAACTTCCATAATCAAGATCATTTTGAAGATATGCTTAGGGTTTTTTGTTGAATTGTGAAAAAAAAGATGGGGCCCATTTTATATCTATATTGACATGGATGGTAGAAAGGTGAGAGTAAGACTGATAATTTCAGTGACATGGGTAGGTATATTGAGGACTGTGAATCTGCATTGGCAAGAGGGTATGCATGGTGTAGAGCAGTTCAAGGTTGAGGTTTATGGGTTGTAGCCAGCCATAGGTTGGGGAGGGGGAGGGGTTCATTTAAAAAAAAAGCATAGTATCTTTATTTACTCTCTCAAAGAGACATTCATGCTTGCCTGATTATTATTATTATTATTATTATTATTATTTTTGACTAGGCAGTAGGGTTAAGTGACTTGCCCAGGGTCACACAGCTAGTAAGTGTTATGTGTCTGAGGTCAGATTTGAACTCAGGTCCTCCTGACTCTAGGGCCGGTGCTCTATGCACTACGCCACCTAGCTGCCCCATGATAATTATTTTTAAGGAGGTAAATACAACCTAATCAAATATCAAAATAAAATCTATGAAGTCTTTCAAATTTTGCTGAGGTATAGTTTTTTTAAACTAGGTGTTTTTTAAGATTTTATTTTCTTCAAGGAAACGAATTGTAAATAAAACCATCTTTAACAAATCATGGGTATCTAATTAATATTGTACTTTGAAGCAAACTAAGCATTCCAAGGAGGTCGGGGAGTGATGAGCAGCAACTTTATTCCGTCCCTAGGAGACTCCTCCCATGCAAAGGCACAGACGGGACAGATGGAATGTTGTATACATGAAACAGTTAGCAGGCTAGTTTAAATGAAACGGCATGTGCATGAAGGGAAATAATAGGAAATGATTTAAAAGTTGGGTGGGCACCATATTGTGTAGGGCTTTAAATGCCAGAATAAAAATTTTTGAACATGAAAAAAATTGTTTTCTGAATACTATATACAAGGTAGAATTTGAATATATACTTTTTCAAAATGAAGCTCTTTGCTTTTGTTATTCTCCATCTCAAGAAAATCTCCATTTTCTGAATGTTTATTAAATAAATAAATGAATGGATAATGGCTCAAATTTATGTAATGTTTTATATATTCTCATCTGAGTATCACAATAGACTGTAGGGTAAATAGTATTTATTTTCCCCTTTTTACAGATAATAAAACTTGGGCTCAGAGGAGTTACTACTTATCCAAAGTCACAGAACTAGTATGTGAGAGAGCCAGGAGTTGATCCCAGGTCTTCTGAGCCCAGTGTTTTTTCCACATTATAACATAAAAGAATGAATGAATGATTTGGTATTCCAATATCATTGATAATCAGATTATTGAGCTACTGTGTATAAGGCACTGTGTCAAAGGTGGGTTTTTTCCCCTTATTAAATTTAGTTTTAATTTTAGGCTCTCTGTTGTATTGTAATTGTTTTTTAGTGCCAGAGACTTTATAGATTTTTCTGTTTTGAAGTTTAATCTTATAAGACACTTATAAATCTGAGGACCTTCACATAAATGTGCCTTTTATATACTGCTAAAATTGATGTAAGTCATATAATTTTGTTCATTAGAAGACATATCCTTTTTTTCTGTCATGGCATTAGCAGCATTTCCTGTGAACAACTGTGTGGCATGCCTTTAATCTTAAAAACAACAACAACAAAACCTCAGAATCACTGAATATTTCTCTTTAATGCTAAAAAACATAGCCATGTACATTCCATGCTGTGGATCTCTTACAGAATTTTCTTTGCATTACACCAGGAAACAAAAAAAAATGTGATTGATTGGCTTTCTATCCTATGCTAGACTGTTCACCTTGTGTGGGCACTTGGTAAAAACTGATAATAAATTTGCCCCACTTTTATTAAAATTTACCTTACAGAATTTTTTTTTGCACCTTTGGGGACTAAGTTTTAGTGGAAGCACTTGTCTTTTCCTGTGCTTCCTTTTCACCTCACACCTGGCAGCAGCCTTCTGCTTGCCTGCAGTCTTTCTGCCCTCCAAACCATCCCGCCCACCGCTGCCAGATTCATCTTCCTAAAATATCCCCTTCATCATGACACTTCTTAGCTCACAAACTTATGAAGGTGCCAACTGTATCAAGTCCAAGCTTTTCTTCCTGGCTTTCAAGGTTCTCTGTAAAGTGGCCCCATCCTATCTATCCAATCACTATTCCCCAACATAAAATCTCTCCACTCTAGTTAATTAGGTCCATTTAACCCAACATGACTTAGAACTTCCATATTCTTGCTCATGTAATTTCTTGTGCCTGGAATATCTTTTCTCCTATGTTCCTAGTTAGATGCTTCTTGTACTCTTCTTCCACAAAGACTTCCTCTTGACTATGCCAGCGTATGTGTCTTTTTTTCTGAACTCCTGTGGCACCCAGGATCAGCCCTACACAGTTAACATGTAATTGTTTTCTTCTTATTTTGTATGGTTTTACTAGTAAGTAGTTAAGATAGGTCAATGGTCCTCCAGTTAGAGTTTAAAAATATAGTTACAGTTAGTAGTTAAGCTAGATTAAAGTTCCATCAAGTAGACTAAAGCTCCTCCAGCCAAGGGCAGGAATAATTTCTTTTACTTCTTTTGGATCCCCTAGGTCCCTTAGAACAGTACTAGATGCTTTAAAATCTGTTGATTTAAGATCTCCTAAGCAGTTTTCTCAGAACAGGCTATAAGCTTAGGGTTTTCACTACCTTTTGCATAATTATGAGTTTGGGAAATAGGCAGTATTCAGAGTTTCTTTTCTTTATTTCTATCTTTCTAATTTCCATATGGCAATAGAAAATATACTTGCCTGAGTTAGTGGAGGGGGAGGGAGAGGCTAGTGCCTATCAGCAATTCTTTCTAGCCCTATGGGATTATTCTCAAGCCATGGAGAAGGTGGGGCTTGGTGTCAACTGCCTGCTTGACAGATCATAGATATGTGATCCTAGGGGGTTAGATCAGGAAGGTACTTTGAAGGTCACCTAATCCAGTCCCCTCATTTTACAGTTGATGAAATTGAGGTCTAGAACATTTAGGTAAAGATTAAAATCTATTGGTTGCCCATAATCAGCCTGTTGGGGAGCCCTGACATAAGAAAAAGAAAAATAATAGCTTATTAGGCCCACCATCTCAAAGTATTGGTTTTCTCATAACACTGTTTCAATAATGCATGATATGACATGTAAAGCAGCATAAAAAGGCAATTAAGAGTCAGCCTGAGAACCAGGAACACCTCGGTTCAAGTTCTGCCTCTGACACATACTGCCTGTATGATCCTGGGCAAGTCACTTAACTGTATTGCAGGGAAAGTGTTCTCCAACATTGGTAGAGGGAGTTTCTTCATCATGGAGCTTTGTGTCCTAATGAAATGACAGGTCCAGTCCCTCTTCTTGTCCCTATGAGGAGCTGCATCTTAGATGTTTATATCCCCCAGCCCTCACTCATAATTAACTTTTGTATACCATCTTGATTAAAACATAGGCCATGCTCTTGAAATATCTCATTGAAAATGGTATGTGTATATAGGTGCTAAAAAATAACACTGGTTTTTGACCACACTCAAATTTTATATAAACTTGATTTGAAGGGAAAGTAGACTGTATTTGGACCAACATGGTGATGCTTTTAACCATACCAATCTCTATATGTATGTGTGCAATATGTAAGGAAGGGTTTGGATAGAGTTAACGAAGAACCATATTACACTAACATTGAATTTCTATAGTCTTGAAAATTTTGAGAGGAAAGTTTTTAAAAGGAGTTATAGAAAGTCATTTCACAAAAATATATTTTACTAGTTAGAGACACAAAGCCCTCTGATTGGCACAATGGAATGAGTGTTGGATTTGGAATTAGAGGACTGTTCTTCAAGTCCCTGCTGTGCCACTTTCTACCTGTATATCTCAAGTCATTTAATTTCTCTGGGCCTCCATTTATTCATACATAAAATGAGAAGATGGGATTAGATGATGTCTTAGGTCCATTGCAGATTTATCTATGACCGTGTGAAAGCATTGTGCTTGTGTTGGGACGGAGGTGGCCTCTGGGCTTGAGTTTACTCATGAATGAGCAACAAACTAAGTGATAATTAGGAATACATGGAAAGTAAGGCTCTTAAGAGTCACAAAAATTTTTTCCAGTGCCAGATATCTTAGACTGGGATCATCTCTCTAGAGCTCATTTCCTATAATCTTGCATATGATAAGTGCTTAATAAATATTTGTCGAATAAATGAGAAGAAAGGGAATGCTTTTAGAGTATTTTAAAACAGTACTAAAGATATCACTAGAATATAAACTAATAGTAAAGAAATCTGAATGACCTTCCAGGTAAAAGCTTAAAAAAATTTTTTTTTCCTTCAGTATTTAGAGTGTGTTGTTAACCTATTATCTATTGCATCTGAAATATATTTCCATGTGTCCGCAGCACCCTGCATAAGGTAGGTGGTTAATAAATGCTTATTTAACTAAATTGAGTTTGACCTAAGATAGTCAAGTAGAAGAAATGGCTGACAGTTTATGAAACATTATTATTTTACTCACACCAAAAGAGCTATTTGTAGAGTTTATTAATAGCTGTGTTTTGTCCAAATGTAGACCAAATTCCTGTAGAACCCGTCTGCCCATCCTACAACATTATGGTCTGTCCCAGTGATTTATGTATGTCTTTCACCTCAGCATAATTCTGATGGTACAATCAACAACATCCTCTGCTACCATCTCACTCTTATAAACATCTTTGCTGTCTCTAGATATCCTGGTACTAAACATTCCTAGCTAATGGGACTTGCCTAATTCTGATTCCTAAATAGGGTTTCCAAAATTACTATTCAGTCAGATTTTAGAAACCACAGGACTCTAATTGCAGAAAGATGGTCCCTTTTGAACTTTATTCAGTGTACCCTTTATCTCCTGAGGACCGGGTTGGGGTAGAGAATGTGTAATAGTAGATATGTCTTAGCATATACCAAAATAAAGGTTTTTTAGGCTTTTTCTGATGTTGAATATGTCATTAGTATCATAGAACCTTGGAACTAGAAGGAACGTTAGAATAATCTAAGCCAACTCCTTCATTTTACAAATGAGGAAAGTGAAGTACCTAGAGAGGTGAAGGCAGTTGCCCAAGATCACATGTAATTCAAAAACAGAAAGGACCTTTGAGGTCTTCTAGTCCAGACTGCTTATTTATGAACATGATGAAACTGAAACATAAAGAAGTTACATGATTTGCCCAAAGTAACACAATGAATTGTCCTGTCTTTGTTCCCACTATGACACTGGCCATGACCAGTTATGACATAGTCATAGCTAAAGACCAGTTCTCCAGGGCTCCCAGTTCAGTGGTTTTAGGGCAGATTCTTTCAGTAAATGTCTTTCTATCTATTTCAAATCCACGTGGCTTTTCATGTGTGTGATTCTAAATTTCTGCTTCTTTATTAGTTTCACAAATTTGATGAAGAGATAAGTTGTGTATTTTTTTTCCTTAAAAGGTTTGCAGCTCAGAAGATTTTGTGGAGCCCTTTCTGAGGAGGAAAAAGCAGGACCTCCATCAAGAGTAGTGTGTTGTATTCTTTTTTTCTTGGTAGTGGCCCCTGCAGAATTCATTAGTCTCCCATTCTTCTTTAGCACTTTGTGGTGATCTTTTTTAAAACTTTAGGTTCTTTCCAGGTCTATTTTCTCTGATTTTCTGCAGTCTCCCTATTTAAATACCCCCTGTAACTTTGTTTATTGGTGATATGTAGAAACATACTCAGATTGTAGATGGGTCACTTGGCCATGTCTGTTCAACAAATGAGGAGAGTATAATAACTTACATTTCTATAGCATTTAAAGATTTACAAAGAGTTTTTTTTCATAATAGTCCTATGAAATAATTTTACAAATAAAGGAAACTGAGGATTAGAATGGCTAAGTGACTTGTCTGTTTACATGTGTAGTAAATGTCAAAGCAAGAATTTGAACCTACTTCTCTTGATTCTTTCCAGAAACGTATCTTCCACGTGTTTATAAATGGAATGTAGTTCTCCTACCTAGGTCCAGAGCCCTTTCTGCCATACTAATGGTTTCTAAATTATATAGTTGACTCTTTCAGAGACAGTGGTGATTCCCAATGTTTTTGAAATTATAATATTCTACCATTATTAGTTTAATCAGTCTCACTCCCTTCTCATAAAAGTACTATGTAGGGATATTAATTTTTTCAGTTGAAGTAAATTAAAATGAATATTGATTTGAGATTATTTGGGGGGAATTTTGAGGACACTGTCAGATAATTGGATGCACAGTGGCTGAAGGAAACTATTTAGTTGGGATAAGTGGGTGGGAGTAACTTGTGCAATGAAAGGTGGGGAGTATTTACTTCACGGGAGGGGAAGAGTGTGGATTCTTTTAAGTGGCACAATGCGACTAAAATTTTCTCCACAACTTAGAGTGAGAAGGACATGTAAGCCAGTTTCATATATTCTGGAAGAAAAATTATTCATGTGAATAGACTGCTGAGGGTAGTTGAACAAAGAATAGGGTAAAAAGATCAGCTTGATTATAAATTCATAGGATTTAAATCAAGGCGTGGGCCTTAAGGGTCATCAAACTCTTCATTTTACAGATAACGAAACTAAGACCCAGAGGGATGAGGTGATTTGGCTGAGGTCACATGGAGCCGGGATTCAACATGGCATCCAATTCTCCATCATACAAGAGAGGAGTCACTTTCTTTTCTCACTCGTTCAAGCTCTGCCCTCCTGTGCTTTCACTGATGTAGATGATGGTTTCTAGGAGAGTTTTTATCGTATTTAAACAAACATTAACTACATAGTCGCTATTCTATGAGTTTTAATCAACTTCCATATAAAGTACTTTGAGATCTTCAGAATAAAGGGAGAGGAAGACAGAATTTAAAATGATGTTTTATTGACTAAATTCTATTATTCATTTTATTCTCAAGATGTTAGTGTATACTTTAATGGCTCTGTCCTTGTCTTTATGTGAGGCCAGATGTTTGAATTATTTGTCTTTCAAGTTTTAGCAAATCATCTCTATTCATATACTTGCACATGATTCCTGTTTAATAGAGATCTATTAATAGGCTTTTTGTTTTATTTTTCTTATGTCCTCAATTTTATAGTTTTCCAAAGAAGGTTTAAACATGTGGGCCTTTTAAGGGAAGAAGACAAAAATGCTTCTGATTTTTTTTGTATTTTTATACCTAGAATGTTCAATGAGTTGAATTTGGTTTTCTATTCTTATTCTTTTTGAAATATTGTCCAAATGCCAAGCTGTCCAGTTCCACAGCATTAGAAGGGAAAGGTCAGTTGAAGTTTACTTCTGGTAGATGGAGCCCACATCACAACTGCACCCAAGTTGCAACAGCCAATGATACTACCATCCGGGGTTGGGATACTAGAAATATGAGGTAAGTGAAGCAGTAATACCCTATTTAACATGGAGCTTGGGCTGACAGGCATCAAAGGCCTTCCTTTTTTCCCTCTCTCTCTTAAACAATTCAGTAAACATTCATTAAGCACTACTATGTGGTCTCAAGAAACTTGCATTCTATCAGGGGAGAGTGAGAATTACAGTGCCTACACAAATAAGTCTGATGGGAAGTTGAATGTGATGAAGTCAAGGTAGAGGTCTGAACCAAGCCCTCTGAGAAAGTTGGGGAAAGATTGATTTCAGCTGAATTGGTCAGGAAAGCCTTTATGGAGGAAGTGGCACCTGAGCTAAGCCTTGAAAAGGATTTTAACATGTGGCTATGAGGAAGGAGGACATTTCAGGCACAGGGAACAACTCACACAGATGCAGGGAGGCAGGAAACAGCAGGAGAAGATAAGGGAATAATAGCTAACTATTAATCAATCCAGTTAGGCTGAAACATATAATGAGTGAAGGAAAGTAATATGAAATAAGGCTGCAAAGGTAAGTTGGAGCCAAATTCTGAAGGGCCTTAAATGTCAAGCTAAGGAGTTCATATTTTATCCCATAGGCAGCAGAGGAGGAAAATGATTAAGAGCTAAATGGATTTTGGGGGTTGGAGGGTGGCTAACATGGTGTGTCTGTCTTTGTATGATGTTTGTAGTATAAATTTTTTTTTCATTTTGAGTTCAGCTGAATTCTTTTACCTAAGCTAATTGTTTAGTGCTATATATTGATATCCCCTTATTAGCAGTTATTTATAATAAAAATCAGTGCTCATATAATGATTTAAAATTTATGTAGAAGTAGTGACTATAGAGTGATTGATATATGATAAACTATTACAACTTAATATAATTATAATCCCTCAGGAAATGTTTAATTATTTGTTTTTTTTTTAATATATAATCGCTGTACCTTTTAAGATACACACCTACTGGTTAATCAAATTTTGTCATTTGGGTAATTGTACCCAACAACCAATAGTTCCACTGGAACAAATAAGAGGCATTTTTTCTGCTCTGGTTGTGATTTTGATAAGCAAAGGAGTGATGTTGTGCATATCTGTTGTCATGGTAACAGAAGCCTGTGCAAGCTTTTTTAAGATACAGTTTATCCCCTCAGCACACCGTAATTTATCACTAAACCAAGAAGACGGATGTCTTGTAATAACTTTTGTTGCCTTTAAGGGGGGGACAACTTTAAATTTAGTTCTATGGCTCCCTCTGCAAGCTCGGGGTATAGCAATCAATCGCTGTTTTCCAAGCATGTGCATATCTATAAAAGGGGCTTATTTAGTTCCATAAACAGAAGCTGAAAGCCATAGAGTTCAAAGATGATAAATACACTGATTGAAAACCATTCCTCAGTGTTCTTTTTCTGTCCTTTCTAATTCCATTGTTCTATGAAAGGATAGCCAGCATTTTAGTATCTAAAGACTGGGAGCCCTTAAAAATAACATTTAAAAAACCAAAATATATGAATAAATCTTTGAATTTTAGAATCCTAAGTTTTTAATCCATTTTTCATTATGTTTTCTCTTTGTTGAGTTATTAGTGGGAAGAGAGCAGAAGATGGGAGTGGCAGTTATTTCTAATTGGACATTACTTACCTTTTTTTGCAGAGGAACAATCATAGATTTACTAAGCAGAAAACTTCCCTCATTTTTCTGGCACTTAATTTACATTTCTTATTCAAAGAACTGCTTTGTGCCTAGCACAGTGTTGACATGTTGTAGGCTAATTAATACTTTATTAGTTGATTCAACTGGCAGGAAAAAATGTTGGAAACATTTGCCTAATCTATATTTTGTCAGTATTTAATTCTACATGTTGATCTATTGAAAGGTTTTCAAGTTTAAGATGTCCTATTTTGTGAAAGAATTTAGAAAACTGGAAGCAGTCCAGGTGGAGAACAGTGAAACTGATTTAAGGCTAAAAAGACAACCTGGGAGAGAAGTTGAAAGGGATCGAGTTTATCCACCTTGGAGAATAGATGACTAGAAGGTGACTTAATAATGGTCTTCAAATATGTGAAAGATAATTACAAGGAGTGAAGTTGCCCAGCTGTTCACTATGTGTACTGATGCTGCAACAAGAAGAAATTAAACTGCAGAAGAGAGATTTAAGTTAACACACAAGGATAAAAATGTGATGTATAAGAGAATGTTGTGAATAGCAAGGCTTCGAAGCAAGGCTTTCAGTTTATTGGATAGTGGGTCAAAGAAGAAGCAAATCAGAGATACCCCAATCTCTCTTGTAGTTCTCTCCCACCTCACTAGATAACCCCAAACTAAACTCATTGCTCCCTGTGGTCAATTATTAGAATTGGGAAGAGTCAGTTTATAGGATGGATATTTTTGATTACCTATGATAAAATGTACAGAATGGACGAATGGATAACAATAGGAACTGAGAAAGGGAAGAAGCTGCCAACTAACAAACACTTTCTTTTCCTTTACTACTCTCACCTCTTGTCCTATTTTCTCCCCTTTTCCTACCCCCTTTCCCACCTCCAACCTTCCTTTTCCTCTTCTTGTGGGCATCTTTCTCAAATCTCGTATCCACCTTGCTCTTCCACATCATCACCAATCTTTTTCAAGCAGATCACTTTGAAATTTTAGGGCACTCAGTCTGTTCTCGTAGCAAAATTTTAAAATCAATGAAAACTCTAAAGGCAGCCCTGAAGGTCATTAATATATTGCTCATTCTTATTTTCACTTAGATGGAGGTTGTTGCCAGGTTCAAGTTGCATCCACTATTTCATCTGGTGTTACATGCAACAAACTCCTCAAAGGGAAAAAAAAAAACGTTCTGAAAGAGCTGGGAAATCCACGTAAGCCTCTTGTGATGCCAACTGGGATTTCCTCAAACTTATCCTTGACATCCCAGCACTGAAATGACCAGAACACTTAGTGCCCCAGGAGTAAACAAATTACTGGGAAACCAGTTCGTTTTTAAAGAGCACAACTATTTTTCCTAATCAATTTATTTTTATATGCTGTTATGGTTTATTGTTTTCCAGCCAGATATATTGCATAGAGAATGCCCATGGACAGCTGGTACGGGACCTTGACTTTAATCCCAATAAACAATACTACTTGGCTAGTTGTGGAGATGACTGCAAGGTGAAGTTCTGGGACACTAGAAACGTTGGTGAACCTGTGAAGACACTGGATGAGCATTCCCATTGGTAATATGAATTTTTTTGTATGCTGTTTTAGGGGTAGGTAGAATATATATTGTTTATTTTTATAATTACTTTGCTATATAAAAAGGTACAAAAGAATTTGATTTGGGCTGATGTGGACTATTCAGTTTTTTTCCTTCTTTTGTATAAAAACGTTAATTTCAAATTTGAATTTTCTTTTAACAATTTATAAGTTAACAGTGTGGAAAAGAAGTTTCAGTTCTTTGGTAATTTATAGTGTGTTCTTTTTATGAATCACTGAAGAAAATACATGTGTAATTCATGAAGGTTTGTACAAATATACTTGTTCTGCTCGAGGAAGTAGAGGAGTTCATTGCTGTTGGTTATAGTGTCTCTGATGATAATAACAGCAACTTGTAATACATAATGGTTTAGAATGACAGCATTGTACATGTTATTTCATTTGATGCTCACAGCTCTGTAGGGGTAGATCTGAGTATCCCTTTTTTGTAGTTGAAAACAAAGGAGGCCCAGAGAGGTAACATAACTCCTCAAGGTTACATAGCAAGAAAGCTGTGGAGCTAAGGTTCAAACCCAGGTTTAATGATTTCACTTTCCCACATTTCTTTGCTTTTTTATAACTCCTGGGTTATACTTTGACATTGACCTAATAGACAGGAACTAATCAACCATCTGGGTCGTTTAAGAAGAAAGAAAGAATGCTATATTTTGGAACTAGAAGACCTGAGTTTAAATCTTATTTGACTCTCTTGTTTTACTCCCTGTGTGCCTATGGACAAGTCATTTTATGTCGGTGGCCTTCAGTTGAATAAATGCTAGTTGACTGAGTCAGTTTCCCCATTTGTAAGATGAAGAGGTTTTTAATAGATGATCTCTTAGATCCCTTCCAGCACTAACTCAGTGATGTTATATAATAATAATGGTCATAACAGCAACTATAGATTTAAAGATATACACGTAGACTTTGTGCATTAACAATACATAAGATTTAAGCACTGAAGTAAGCTTTAATTCTCATTTTGTCATAGAATGCA